AGTTAGGCCCCACTGCTCCAAGCTGTTGCATGTAACTAAGGGTCCATACAGAGCACCCCTGCAGTATAACCTGCATGATTGGGGTTTTAGAGTCTATTGTCCCCACAGTCCCAACAGAATTTTGGGGAGGGCTGGAGGTGAGATTGGGACTGTCTACACAGAACAAAGGAGTTATCATCTGACTTAAAACCTCCACTATACTTATGTTAAAATGGTTTTCAGATAGGGAATAAGAACTTGTGTAAGTGGTGCCTGGGGCTTTGTTCAAAGCCTTTTGTGGGAAAGTGATCTATTTCCTGTACAGCAGAGGTCTGATATTACACAGAGAGAGGAGGGGTGGAGGGAAAAAGGGCATGGTACGAAGAAGAAGAAAAAAAAGCAGAGTGTTTAGAATTCCTCCATGTGAGCAATTCATTTTCTGTTAATACTGCATAACTCAGAGCAAAAGGCAAGGCACACTCACCTTGTACATCAGTATCTACATGCTTTAGGCACTATAAACAACAAGGGGAATATACAATCACAGTCCCTCACAGCTGTTCCAGTTTCTGTATTTTTATCAGTTGAAGTTCCAAGAAGTTTCTCTGCAACCTGTGAGTTTGACAGGATACAGCTGTGGTAGGACCTGCCCTGGAAATAGTGTATACACTGCAAACTCTCTTTGAAAGTGTCATTAACAGAACTAAGAAAAATCCCCCCCCTCCCCCCCCCAGTTAACAAACATGGTATCAGAGTCTTCACCACTAGATATTGTGCAATGCAAATAAATCTCTAATAATGGCACAGGGGGCTTTTTGGTTTAAAGAAGCTTGTGTTACTGTAGTTAATGCAAGAGTCAGACAGACTTGTTATTCAGCACAAAACCAGTTATCTAGAAGCTTTGATACCCGAGAGTATAAATAACCATTACTACAGAGCCTGGATTCTGTTTTCGGAGAGCAGTCGCCAAGTAAACACTGAGGAATCCCTTTGGAAAAGTATGTCAAACAACCGTCAACATGGGCCAGGCAAATAAAAAATGATGAGCTGCCAGATTTGGTTATGGAAGCTTCTTGTTACTAGAATGTTCAGACCTATTGTGGTAAGCAACACAGCTTGGAGTGTTAATCACAGATGCTGAAGGGCCTCTTGGCCTTGTTCGGTGTAGGAGTCCTCTTTGTTTGAATCTGCCCATTCGCCAAAAGTATCCTGGAAGTGAACGTTTTTCTGTGTCGTCTGCATGCGTTTTTTATCACGAGAGAAGAAACTAAACCTTCCAGAAAGTAAGAAAGACAAATTAGGATCTAGTGGTTTGGAGACATTTGAGACAACTGATTCACGGTGCAACAAAACTTAAAGAGCAAAAAACTGTTTGCATCTGCAAAATGAAGGCAGCGAAGCCTGATGGAGTATTTGTCAAACATTATTCAAGATGAAGTCACTGCCATCTCCAGCTGCTTTGTTACGGAAGCTTCAAAAGAAGCTTTAAATGCTGTGACCTACACACACGTGCAGTCTTAGTTTGGGTGTATTAGTTATTTAAAAAAAACAACAAACCCACAACAATGAAACAAAAGGATTAGTTTCATGCCATAAACAAAATAAATTGGCATAGTGTCTTTTTGGCATGAAAACGCTACAATATGCTTTTAAGTAGAAAGAAAAAGTTGGGGGTGTGAGGGAGAGAGGGAAATAAGTATAAGAAGTCACTAAAACAGGGGTAGGCAACCTATGGCACGAAGATTTTCAGTGGCACTCACACTGCCCGGGTCCTGGCCACCAGTCTGGGGGGACTCTGCATTTTAATTTAATTTTAAATGAAGCTTCTTAAAACATTTTAAAAAACCTTATTTACTTTACATACAACAATAGTTTAGTTATATATTATAGACTTGGAGAAAGACCTTCTAAAAATGTTAAAATGTATGACTGGCATGTGAAACCTTAAATTAGAGTGAATAAATGAAGACTCTGCACACCACTTCTGAAAGGTTGCCGACCCCTGCACTAAAAATTTAAAGAAATGTTTAAAGTGAATACTTCTAATACCTTAGGCCCAATTCCAGCACACACCTAAACACGTATGCAAGTGTTTGCAGGATCAGAGTCTTAATTAACATATTAAATGTGCATATCGTTTACCCACACACAGTGTGTGGGTGCTCAGTTAATAGTATGCATGAACTGATAAGCCATTTTAATAAGCCTGTGAACCGCAATTAAATGGAAAGCTGATACTACATAAAATTAAAAAATATCAGTTTTAGTTTTTCTTGTTTGTATGGCAGAGACGTTACCAGCTTAAGCAAAATAATTTTTGTTATTATAGTGAACCATATATTAAAAAAATGCAAAAGGTGTTCGTGCAATGTTAAAGTAATTAATGTCTGTTGGGAAATGCAAAAGTTAAGGTACCATCTTCAGTGTTAACCACAATGCATATCCTTCCGCTTTTATGGTGCTCTTTTTTTAGGACTTTTTGTTCTGTTTGTATAGTACCTAGCACAATGGGGTCCTTGTCTACGAGTGGAGTCCTTAGGTTCTACTGCAATACAAATAATAACATGAGTACTACATTAAGCTACTTTTAAGTACAGGATAGAAACTACTACTACATGAGTGCAGTTCAAGCAAGTTAACATTGCTGCTGGGACCTGAATGTTTGCATTTCCTAACTTTTTGATTTTAAGTCTGCAGCCTTAACATTGCAGTGTCTTGCATTTAATTTCCGGTTTGTTCTAAGAAAGTATATGTCAGCACTACCCTGCCACCGTCACCCCAGAGCTTGTAAATTCATTATGCTGTATCTGTTTTTGGTTGGTTGGTTGGTTTTTGTTTGTAAAGGCCAGATTCCAAGTCCTCCTGGCATAAGTGCACTGCTAACTAGGGCTTTCCCCTGTGCATATTTGTTCCTGCATTTTCGAAATGTTTATAATTAACATTTTTCAAGTTTAGTAAAGCACACTCTTCAGTGAGGACAGCTGCATTTACATGCTAAATTTCAAGGGTCAAAGTTCAGCCATTTGAGTTACTCTCAAATTATGATGTAGGAAAATGGATATTTTATATATAAACTATTTATTCTAAATCCAGCTGAAGAGATTTTGGTGAACTTAGAGTGTCATTGTTGGGCCAAGAAAGCATGGAAATTCTCAGTCCAAAAGTTGAATGTTTAGAAAGATTACAAGTTTCTGTGTGGGAAGGGAAGGAATTTAGAATGAAAACTATTTTGCAGCCTTCAGTGTAGTGGTTAGGGTTACCATATGTCCGTTTTTTCCTGGACACGTCCGGCTTTTTGGTAATCAAACCCCCATCCGGGGGGAATTGCCAAAAAGCCAAACATGTCCGGGAAAAATACCGCCGGC